AGAGGTCACAAGAAGCTCTTCCCTATGTGCTAGCCAACTATTAACAAATAAACAGACTAAAAGCTGACAATTGACTTTACTGTTCTTTTAGCATACTAATTGATGGGGTTTCCAATGCATTTAATTATTTTGGAAGATCCCAAGTTGCAAAATTTAAGTGAGACAAAGGGCTTCTCCTCTCCACCCAATGATACCTTTCTATCTCCCACCTTAGGGTTTGGAGTCCCTTTGTTGCATGAATGTATAGTCTGAAGAAGGCCAGTGTGATAGTGTTTACTTTTAAATTATTCAAAAGTACCTGCTGTCAAACCTTTGTAAACATAACCAAAGCCCACATCTGGCAAATTCTGGTATGGTCTGCTATTAGGTCCATATTCTCAATATTGGTTTTATAAAACAGGTCTACTATATTTGAATAAAAGGGGGCAAGACAGTGTCTATTAAGTTTCTTGAGGGAAATTCATGTCACAGAGTTTGGAATTCTATGAGAACATAGCTCCCCCCCACCCCTTATTTGTGTTTCCTGGATCATTTTCTCTTCAGAAATCCATTGAGAGGACTATGTGAACACAGGGAGGGAGAAAAGCAACTCAGCGAACCTTGTTTTTCTTTCCCTCTGAGTTCACTTTGCCTGAGGAAGTGGAAGATTTATCCTTCCCACCTGAGAGCCTGGGTGATAGTCCAGCCTGTGGTACTAGGATGCCAGCACTTGGTGGGGCCTGATTTGCTTGGCTGATTTTCTGTACATCACTGACAGAACTTATGCATGCACAAGCTACTAAGCCATCTGAAAAAGTATATATTGTATATATATATGGTGTCCCAAAAATGTATACACACACTGAATAATTATAAAGGCAGTGTTTATTAAAATACATTTCATTTTCAAAATTGAGTTATCAGCTGTTAGAGTGCATACATTTTTTTGTACACACACACACATATATATATGACAAAAACTTTTTTGATGTAACCACAGTTTTCTCTGACCTCAAATATTCGCTTTTTTTTTGATCCCATGACCTACACATTAGTAATCACTGCCTGAATAAATGAAAAAAATATTTTAAATTAATACAGGTAAGATTCTGGACTGAAGTGAGAGCACCCTACAACCAATAAAATTCCAGAAAACCCACCTCTATCTTTTCAAAATAATACCACCAAAAAGGAAAAAAATCTTATGTTAAAACCTTCTTACTTCTGCATTTGGTAGTTTCATAAACTTGAATTTGTGTAGCATCTGCAATGCATAGTATTTGAATGTATACAATTCTTCTCTACCTTTTCACTCCTTAGGCCACTGGATTTCATTCAAAATTGTTCTTTCTCAACAAAATAGATGAACAATCAAAAGTGAAACAGACTCATAGACACTGTGAGCAAACTTGGGGTTGCCAGAGGGGAGGGGGCTTGGGGGAGTGGGTGAAAAGGTGAAGGGACTAAGAACAAGAAATTGATATTCACAAAGTAGTCATGGAGATGTAAGTAAAGCATAGAAAATATAGTCAATAATATTGTGATAATTATGTATGATGCCACTTAGGTACTGAATGTAACAGGGTGAACACTTTGTAAAGTATATAATTGTCTAACCACTAAGTTGTATACCTGAAACTAGTACAAGATAAAATTGAAAGAAAAAAATTACAAGAACAAAAAATTTATGAGAAACATATTTCTATTACTAAACATGTATTGTTATAAACCTGGAAAATTAAAAATAATCATAGTGTAACTTTTAAAAATCAGGAAACAAAAGACGTGATAGGAGAAAATGCATAAATGTTAATACTCTCATCTTTCTTATCAATAATTAATTCTACTAGCTGAAAACTATAACATGTAGCTTTTAAAAATCTCCAACCACTTAATTCTCACTCTCTCTCTTTCCTACCCTCCCTCCCATCCTCCTACTCTCACATCCCTTTCTTTTCTCTGTTCTTAAAGGAATATTTTATTATACGTTTTGTGGAAAAGACACATTTATTTAAAATTCAATAATTCTTTCCATTTCACAATAATTTTTCTTGTTTTGAATTAAATAAAAGTAAATTATTAAATTGAATACTTTTTAATATAAAGAGCTTCTCACTTTTACAAAATATTTATAGCTATCCTCTAACTCTATACAGACACAACATAATACATAATAAAATATGTACATGTATACATAAAATTATTTAGTTTTTGTTTCATTTTAATAGATAAATTTCTAAAGCTTGCAAACATTTTCCCATTATCAACTTAATTACTATATTTTGGCAATGTTTTCAGGCTAATATTAAAGTCTTTCAAAAAATTAAAATTTAAGGCTGACTCTTTTTACACTGTTTTCCAAAAAACACTTAAAAACAATGACAGGAGGACTAGGCACTTGCACTTTTAAGCTACACACCCTCCTCCCAATCTCAGTTTAAACATACATCAGTTACTCATTTACTGTGTTCTGTGTGTGAATTACTCCCTCATGCCAATGTCTGTGTTTACAAATCCACTCATTTAGCCTGCTTCTAAATATATATATATATATATATATATATATATATATATATATATATATATATATTTTATTCCTCACCCAAGGATATTTTTCCATTGGTTTTTAGGGAGAGTGGAAGAGAGGGAAAAACAGAGAGAAACATCAATTTGAGCCCGGACCAGGAAGGCCAATGCTCTATCCACTGAGCTAAATTGGCTAGGGCTGGTTTTAAATATTTTAAATAATTTATTACAGTTGAAACTTCTTATAACCTAGCTCTTCAATGTATTAATTTGAATATTTCCCAGGTGGAACTAAGCCCAATATGATTCTACACAGAAATATTTCTTTAGGGAGGGCTAACATCATTCCTAAAGGATTCCAGCGTTAGAAGGTGAACTTTATTGGGGAGAAAAGTGTGTGTATGTGTGTGTGTGTAGAGAAATATCTATCTATCTATCTATCTATCTATCTATCTATATAGAGAGAGGGGGGGTATTATTTTCTCCCCTTTAGGAAATTATTTTCTCTGGTAATGAGCAATTTTCATAAGTTAAGCTTACTTATTCCATTTTTAGTCCTCAAAGCGCTCAATGTTCAGAACTTATTTGCTAAAATATTGTAGAAAAGACAACAAAACACACCAACTTGAGAATTAATGTACAGGACAAAACCTAAAGCATGTTTTAGAATGGCTACCCTGCCAACTGTTTTTTTGAAGATTGACTGACCTGCACTCTGGTTGCAGTCAAATTCAGGCGTCCAGCAATCTGCTGTCTGAGGGAGAAAATTGTAAATGTTCAGTATTTGGAGTTGTGGATAAAATAAAATATATTATGTATATTATTTCTATCCCACTGCCCCGTGCAGTTGTCTCTAATGCAGCTTAAGGCTTGCTTTAAAGTACAATTTTTCCCATGGACAATTTGTCTGTTAAATAAGATAGGAAAAGGGAATATAATAGTATGTTAGGTAAATATGACTTAATCAATTTTTCTGTTTGTGAAACAACAGAAAACAACCCTGGAAATTTTTTTTTGGGAGGTCCCTCGGAAAAAACAAAAATGCCAAAGCACCTTCAAAGTGGCGTTTTTAACTAGATTATTTGTTTATTGTAAAAGGGAGCCTAACCTCTCAAGGAGAAACTCCAAACCATTTCCTGGGAGCATCAAGAGAAATTCTATTTTGCTCTTTGGCGGGCGAAGGCTGACTACAGCGGAACCCGAAAGGGTGCCCCTAAACTTCACACCATCTTGTCCAGGTCACACATTCCTGCAGGGCCGGAATAAAACTGCCCCTTCACGCACTACCGTGGTCTGTACACAAGGGCTCAAAGGAAAGCGAAGAGGAGCGAAGGAGTCTTTAGCTTTTTATTTTATTTTTAACTTTTCATTCATCTATTATCTATCTATCTATCTATCTATCTATCTATCATCATATTTCCATTAAAACTCTGCCACCTGGAAACAGCGCTCCACGTGGCAGGGCATTACTGGCTGGGGTGAGGCAGTGGCGCGCTCTCACGTAACAAAATTTAAGGATGCAAAAAACAAAAGTTATCACAATAAATACTTTCATGCAATATTCAAACTATAAAAATTATGCAAAAAAAACACAATGATAAGCAAAATACCAACATTTTAAAGAAAAGCAGGTTTAATTAGATTCTCCCTTACTCCTTTCGCTCAAGTACTGCTCTGGTTTCCACAACCCCAAAAGCACTGTAGACAATGCACCAATTCCAGAAAGCTAGGGCAGACCCCAGCACTCATGAACCCCTTAAGTGGCTTTTGGTTCAGAAGAGGTGGAAGAGGGTCCTGAGGAAGAGCCTAAGGCGCCCCAGTATGAGCCCAAGCTCCCCTTTGGAGAACAGTGCCTCCCGCACAAGCCACTTACCTTGCGAAAATGTCCGGGTACTGACAGTGACGGAATAAGTTCTCCAGCTCTCGCAGCTGCAACGCAGTGAACACGGTTCGGTAGCGGCGCGGATTTCTCCCTGCGACTTGTGGACCAGCCTCGACCCGGGGAGCAGGCTCCATTTGCAGCTGCTGGAATTCCTGGTCGCCGCCTGCGACGCCCCTGCCTCTGCCGTCCTCACCTCCGCTGCTCGGACCATCGCCCCGACGGACTTGGTTGTTCAAGAACTCGGGCTCTCCCCCGCCGAGGTAGTTCGGTGCTGCGGCTCTAAGCTCAGGTTCGGACCGTGTACCCTCCCGATCTCCCCCTGTTAAGATAGGCGGCACATCTGAGGAAGGGTGTAAGCAAAAGGGAGTGACCAGGCTGTTGGCGCCCACGGTAGTGGGCTAGAGGCGGTAAGAGGCCGCTATGGAGAAGTAGTGAGGACCTCCTCGCAGCACCCAGCCCACGTCCCACCCAGGGAAATCAGTCTCCTCGAGTTTACAGGACGGTTTTCCCGTCTAGGCACTCACCACGCTGTTCCTCGTCAGCGCCTAGGTTGCAGTAGCCTGTATCATAGTAACTGCTCCCTGAATAAGATTTCATGTCTAGAGTGCTGTCGATGAAGTCTCGAGCTCCTGCAGAGTCTGCGTTAGCGCTCCTGGCTATCCCAGGTCCGGAATAAAGCTAGCGTCTAGTCGTGAGCTGGCGCGCCTTTTAAAAGGGTACATTGTTGCTTTCCAAAAGTCCAATGTTTATGCGCGAGAGATGCGCTCTCGCTGTCTAGACTCCCTCTATTAGAGTGCGCCCTACCTCTCTCGGTGAGTGTGGAAACAGAGAGGGTAGCCCTCGAAGACCGGGTGTTTAAGTAAAATAGGGCGGCGAGAGTGTACAAGAGTGGGCTTGTGTACTTCAGTGAGGAACGGTGACTCCAATTTGCAGCTTAACTGACTACTCCCAACTCAGATCAAGTGTTTGATCGGAGGCATGGGTTTCCTGGACTGTAAAAGCCTTATTGTGGGGCGGGAGGAGGGCAAGAATTCACATTAGTTTTTGGAGCTCTTGGATAAGTGTTTAGTGAATATTCCTCCGCCCAACCCTCCAAGTGGTGTAGCCTGCGAATGAATGGCTCCACGCTGGACTCCCTCGCTTTCCTAGAGGCAAAGAAAGTTAAGACTGAGAAAGCATAGAGTCCTCAGTCAAGTACGCTGAAGGGAAGTTATTAGTGAATTTTACACTGGGCTCTAAGCGATTCTCCCTTCCTAAAAGCTGGTGAGCAATGCATAGGACTGTCTTGGCTATAAAACCGCGCCCACCCCGCATATTGAGCTAGTGGTGAAGAGGAAATGATTAGCTTGGAAGCTGATGTCACAGGGTTTTAAAAATCAGTTCCCTTGCATTTTGGGAGCCAGAGTTTGGGGTGGGTTTGGAGGAGCAGATGTATGCAGCAGGAAACCCCAAGTGCCTCCTGAGGAAGTCCCAAGGACTTTAGGTTTTTAGTAATAAGCCCATGACAGAATACAAGTGTAGAAACTTGCCAAATGCTTAGTGCATCCAAGAACGCATGCTGCACGGGGCCGCTTCTTTAATCCTGGCACATGTAACATTTGCTGAGCTAGATTGCTACGCTCCTTACTGCATGGTGCTTTGCAGGCACCTAAAGCTAGCCTTATTCCTGGGCCAGTAAAGTAGACCTGGGAAGAGTTTTTGCCTTCCCCACTACCACCTCTTCCCCTCCCCCACCCTTTATGTAGAATTATTTTTTTGAGCTGTTTTCCCCCACTAATGCGTCAAATAAAATAAGAGCCAGACTACCATTGAAAGTTCCTAAGGTTCTTCCTCAAAGAAATGTTTATCGGTGCCCCAGGAGGTGTTGATGCCCTTCATATTATAAGAATAACTTCTAATAATGGGCCCTCTGCTTGGCACTGTAAATAATTTCTCTTATCTTTGTCTATTAAACCATCCTGGGCGGTGTGCTTCATGGCTGACACCCCCCACATCCACTCCTGCTCTTGTGCCTCGGCCACCTTGGTCATAATTTTTTAAAATTGTATTTTACAACTGTGTTGTTATAAAGATAAATATAATCTGGGCTTTGTTATATTAATTTTTTTTCTTTTGATTTCAAAAGAAATTAAATTTTCATGGGTTCCTAAAAGTGGTAGTTACTGTGACTACTGTGCCTAATGGAGGAGCCCAGAGGGCGGGTGGTAGGAAACTAGCTAATAGATGGTTGAATGGCCAATTCACTTTATTTTTTTTATTTTAAATTTATCTTTATTGAAAATATTACAAACGTTCCCCTTTTGTCCCATATTGACCCTCTTCACCCCCCCATCCCTACTCACAGGCCCATGGCATTTTTATACACCAATAATGAACTCTCAGAAAGGGAAACTAAGAAAACAATGCCATTTACCATTGCAAGCAGTTCATTTTAAAAAAGATGCCAACCCCACAGTACCCCTCTGACTTTAATCAAGATATTTCTGCAGGATGGCTCTTGCTGAGTTCTACAGGCTCCGCTCTCTTTTTGGCTAGATACCTGGTGAACAATTTTGGCGTGGGCCAAGATATTACATAAGAGAATCATACAGGTTTTAATTATGGTGTGCAGTGGTCAGCTAGTACGTTGGTAACAGCTCAGGTGTGTTCTGTCACATCTTAAGTTTCCATGGTTTATTTACTGTAGTGTTTTGTAAGCCTCAGTCAGTCATGTCTCCCTCGCAAGGTTTCCAAACCTGGGTACCAGCCATGGTAGTGTTTACTTAACATATTTACTTGAATTGATTCACTCTTTGAAAACTTTAAATACCTAACTGAACCTCATCCTAGACAAAAATACCTATGAATCCAAGGGTTTGATAAATAATATACCAGATTTATGTGAGATAGAGCATGGCAATAGTTGAGAGCAAGGACTCGGAAGTCATACTGCTGGTGACTAAATCCTTGCTAGTTGGCTAATCTAGTGAGTTGTTTCTTCTCCCTGAGCCTTAGTTTTCTCATCTGTAAAATGGGAATAACTATTACTACTTCATGGGGTTGTTGTGAGGATAAATTGAAATTATTACTATAGCTAACACTTAGCTAATTCTTACTATGTGTTAAATATTGTTCATAATACTTTCTATATATTAACACATTTATTATTTTTTAATTTTTTTATTAAGGTATTATATGTGTATATATCTTACCATTGCACCCACCACTCACATACTTGCCCTCACTTCCCAGAATTTTTCATCCATTGGTTATGCTTATATGCATGCACACAAGACTTTCGGTTGATCTTTTATCTTCCCCACCTCTCCCTAACCTTCCCACTGTAATTTGACATCCTGTTTGATGCTTTACTGTCTCTGAATCTATCTTTTTGTTCAACAGTTTATAATTTTCTTTATTATCCATAAATGAGTGAGATCATGTGGTATATTTCTTTCATTGACTGGCTTATTTCACTTAGCACAATGTTCTCCAGTTCCATCCAGGCTGCTGCAAATGGTAAGAATTCCTTCTTTTTTATGGCAGTATAGTATTCCATTGTTAGATGTACCATAGTCATCTGCTGATGGGCACCTAGGCTGTTTCCAAATCTTAGCTATTATAAATTGTGCTTCTATGAACATAGGGGTGCATATATCCTTTCCTATTTGTGTTTCTTTTTCTTAGGATATATTCTGAGGAGTGGGATTACTGGGTCAAATGGGAGTTCCATTTTCAGTTTTTTGAAGAAACTCCATACTGTTCTCCACAGTGGTTGCACCAGTCTGCATTCCCACCAGCAGTGCACGAGGGTTCCTTTTTCTCCACATCCTCGCCAACACTTGTCGTTTTTGAATTGTTGATGATAGTCATTCTGACAGGTGTGAGATGGTACCACATTGTCATTTTGATTTGCATCTCTCAGATAATTAGTGACTTTGAGCATGTTTTCATGTGCCTCTTGGCCTTCCTTATGTCTTCTTTTGAAAAAATTCTATTTAGGTCTATTGCCCATTTCTTTATTGGATTATTTATCTTCCTTTTATTAAGTTGTACAAGCTGCCTGTAGATGTTGGAGATTAAACTTTTCTCAGTGATAACATTTGCAAATATGTTCTCCCATACAGTGGGCTTTCTTGTTGTTTTGTTGATGGTTTCTTTTGCTGTAAAAAAGCTTTTTTTTTTTTTTTTTTTTGATGTAGTCCCATTTGTTTATTTTCTCTTTAGCTTCCATTGCCTTTCAGCATATGTCTGAGATTTTGCTCCCTGCCGATTTCTCTAGAATTTTTATGGTTTCCCATCTTATGTTTAAGTCCTGTATCCATTTTATTTATTTATTTATTTATTACATATTTTATTGATTTTTTTTGCCCTCCTCCCTCCCTCCCACACATCCCCTCCCTCCCCAGAGTTTTATGTCCATTGCTTGTACTTATATGCATGTATACAAGTCCTTCGGTTGATCTATTATCTCCCCCAGATCCTCCTCCCCTCCCCACAGTAATTTGACAATCTGCTTGTTGCTTTACTGTCTCTATATCTATCTTTTGGTTCATCAGTTTATAATGATCTTTATTATCCACAAATGAGTGGGGTCATGTGGTATTTCTCTTTCATTGATTGGCTTATTTCACTCAGCATGATGTTCTCCAATTCCATCCAGGTTGCTGCAAATGATGAGAATTCCTTCTTTTTTATGGCAGCATAGTATTCCATTGTGTAGATGTACCACGGTTTTTGGATCCAATCATCTGCTGACAGGCACCTAGGCTGTTTCCAAATTCTGGCTATTGTAGATTGTGCTGCTATGAACATAGGGGAGCATATATCCTTTCTGATTGGTGTTTCTAGTTTCTTGGGATATATTCCTAGGAGTGGGATTACTGGGTCAAATGGGAGTTCTATTTTCAGTTTTTTGAAGAAACTCCACACTGTTCTCCACAGTGGTTGCACCAGTCTGCATTCCCACCAGCAGTGCACGAGGGTTCCTGTTTCTCTGCAATCTCGCCAACACTTGTCCTTTGTTGATGTTGGCCATTCTGACAGGTGTGAGATGGTACTGCATTGTTGTTTTGATTTGCATCTCTCAGATAATTAGTGACTTTGAGCATGTTTTCATGTGACTTTTGGCCTTCCTTCTGTCTTCTTTTGAAAATATTCTATTTAGGTCCATTGCCCATTTCTTAATTGGATCATTCATCTTCCTTTTATTTAGTTGTAACATCTGTCTGTAGATGTTGGAGATTAAACCTTTATCAGTGGTGTTATTTGCAAATATGTTCTCCCACACAGTGGGCTTTCTTGTTGTTTTGTTAATGGTTTCTTTTGCTATAAAAAAGCTTTTTATTTTGATGTAGTCCCATTTGTTTATTTTCTCTTTAGCTTCCATTGCCCTAGGGGCAGTATCGGTGAAGAAGTTCTTTTGGCATACGTCTGAGATTTTGCTGCCTGTGGATGCTTCTAGTATTTTTATGGTTTCTCGTCTGATGTTTAAGTCCTGTATACATTTTGAGTTTATTTTTGTGTATGGTGAAAGTTCGTGATCTAGTTTCATTCTTTTGCATGTATCTGTCCAATTTTCCCAACACCATTTATTGAAGAAATTGTCTTGACTCCATTGTATATTCATGCCTCCTTTGTCAAATATTAATTGAGCATAGTGATTTGGGTTGATATCTGGGTTCTC